TTGAACCGAATTTAGCATTTGGTGAAACCTAGTCCGGATATCTATTGCTCTAATGAATAATTTTTTAATATAATCCATACGAAGTCATCATGCACTGATCTACTTCAATAATTCCCACTATAAACTTTTTTTTACGGGAACTCTAAATACACATAGTGGTGCAGTGTATCACATAGTTGGCCCCGCCCGACTTCTGACCTTTCCTCCATACATTAAGTAGTGTTAATAAAATGCATGACTTCATATAAAAATATTAAAATTAGTTATTTCAAATTCAAACATTTTCCATAATAATACAATGAGTTTTTTCGTTTCCCTTGGCAACTCCTTTTTGGTAACAACGATATTTCTCTCCCAGCAAAAAAAAGAAGAAAAAACAAAAAGAAGAAATATTAAACAAATCCATGCATATGTGTACCCGTACGTTAGTACACCAGCTATGGCCCGAATATGTCTGCATTGGCATATTTTGTTATGCCACATTCAGATGAATACAAATATATACAAACTCTCATGCACACATAAATACACATGCTGACATACGCACACAGCCACACACACATGCACACTAAAATATAGAAGTCGACATGTTTGGTAGATGTCAGTAGTTTCCTAAAATTAAAGTTTTGTTGTTTTTTAATTAAAATTGCAGCCAAAATAATGCTCTTTCAAAACTAACTACTGCGAAGTTGTTCACAGAGTTAGTTTTTTTTTTGGGCGAGTGTGTGTGTGTGAATGTTTTTTACTGTTTGCCCTCCCATCTTTGCATTGCTTCTATGCAAGTGGCGGCATCATCCTTTTATGTGTTCACACACACACACACACACACAACAAGTCTACCCATATCCATTAAATGTGTACATGTGGTACTGCTCATGAAGGTTTTGCTCCAATGCATGCGAAAACAAAACCCCGAAATAATGAAATAATAAACGAAACAACAACAACAACAAAACGGAAACGAACAAAGGCAAATAGTAAACGAACAAAAATATTAAGAGGAAGGATGACAAAACAAAGCGGAAGGTTTGCGTTTGCAATAATATCTGCTGCTTCACTGAATGACAAGGAGATTCGCAGTTCGCTTTCGCGTTTGCACGCTAGCAAATTAGTGGCATTTGTTTATAATAGTTGATTTTTGGCATATAATACCGTTATAATGTTGACTCGCTAGCGGGGCGGAAAAAAGGTAGAAATGTGGAAAGCTTTTAGTTTGTCATTACTACAACCATCGTTTTGCAAAAAAAAAAAGTGGAGTAAATGTTAATATTTGTGATGTTATCAAAGGCTTTGATGGGACGAACGTCAAAGAAATCAAAGTGATGAAGTAAAGTTTTGAGTTACAAAAAATGTTCTTCTCTTCTCTTCTTTTTGCTTTGGATATATTTCACTGAAATGCAAAACAAAAAAACGTTTTGTCTGTCAAAAATTGTATAGTCAAAGATATTCCAAACTTTATGCCTAGACCAAATGGATAAATATGAATGAATGTCTGTTTTTGTGATACAATGAGTCTTCTTTCGCACGCAATTCGAAAGAATTCCAATTAGAATTAGATCCGAAAACTCGAAAATATGAGTATTTTTCATAATGATGGGCTTTTGTAAAAAAAAGAATGTAATCGAATTCAAATGCAAATTCAGTTACAACACTTTGGAGTTGCTGAGTAATATATCAACAGCAAAGTTATCAAAAAAAAAGTTCGGGAAATTTCGTACCCTTAATTAAAACAACTAAGCAAAGGATATAGTCGAGCGGGCCCGACTATTTGATAGTCTACAAACTAAAGTTTCTACAGATCTGAAACCTTTTTTTGCTAGAATGAAAATGCCACTAAGAAACATCCCATTTGAAGGAATATTTCATATGTGGCGAACAAATAAACTGTAATCGGACGAAAATATGTATGGGAGCTATATCTATATCTTACTCTAAACCCATATTCACCCTCCACTCTTCATCCATTATTGAGAGATCCTTTGTTGTTAGGGCGGTGAGATTGTGAATCAGCTTCCTTTGGCTTACGTAATTTTACCTATACTAATTATCTGTTTAGGTTTAAAGTAATTGAGTACCTTCGCCTAAATATGTAGGTTATGTTTTTGTAATGGTTACGTCAGTTTAATATGGGACTTTTTTATAGCCTCCACCTTGGAAAGGAGGGTATATTAACTTTGTCATTCCGTTTTTAACATCCTTAAATATTCGTCGTAGACCCCATAAGAGAATATCATAATCAGCATAAAATTCTAAGTCGACTTAACG